CACATATTTATTGACAGAGACACAGTCAGCGACAGACATACATACACACTCACTTACAAAACATACACTCTCATTGACAAACACACACTCACTAACAGACATCAAACAGACTCACTAACACACACACACTCACTGACACTCACTAGCAGACACACACACTAACACTCACTCTAACACTCACACACACTAACACTCACTAGCAGACACATACACTAACACTCACACTAACACTCACACACACTCTAACACTAGTTTTTTTTAAATATAATCCCCCCAGCCTCCTTACCTTTTGGAGTGCTGGGGGGATTCCCTGGGGTCCAGTGGTGGTGCTGGACTCCTGGGCGGGTGGCCGGTCGGGCAGGCAGGCGGGCGCGCGAGGGAGCACTCAGTGCTTCCTCTTCAGCTCCCTCGCGCGCCGCGTAGGGATGCCGGCGCCGGAAGATGATGTCATCTTCCGGCTCTGGTATCAGTGGAGGGAGCTGAAGAGGAAGCACTGAGTGCTACCTCGCGCGCCCGCCTGCCTGCCCGCCGGGGTCAGCAGGGCCAGCCTCGGGGGGCCCTGGGGTGGTCGGCTCCTGGCCCCCCCAGGGGTAGAGGCTGGCCCTGTGGCTACATACCGCGACCCCTGCGACCCTGGTATGTACGCCACTGCGTTTTGCTGTAAACACTGTCTTTTCTGAGAAAATGCAGTGTTTACATTACAGCCTAGTGATAACTTCAGTGGCCACTCCTCAGATAGCTGTTAGAGATCCTTCCTGGGTCATGGCTGAAATAAATGCATCCAAACATTCAGTATCTCCTCTCTCTGCATGCAGGCACTGAACTTTCCTCATAGAGATTCATTGATTCTATTCATCTCTATGAGGAGATGCTGATTGGCCAGGGCTGTGTTTGAATCATGCTGGCTCTGCCCCTGATCTGCCTCCTTGTCAGTCTTAGCCAATCCTATGGGGAAGCATTGTGATTGGATCAGGCTACCACGTCTGATGATGTCAGCAGACTGCTTGTCTTTTTGAGGAAAACAGCATGCAGATCTACAGCTTCAGGCTTGAATACAGTACGATATTGCTATATTTATGGTGGCATGAAGTGCCCAGGGGGGGTTAGATGGTGTTTTTATACATGTTTGTGTTCATACATGTTTGTGTTCCTGACCCTATGGTGATCCTTTAAATGTTTCTATCATACACCCCCCCCGTCTCGTCTTTCCTCCAAGCTATACATATTAAGTTCCTTTAGCCTTTCCTGGTATGTTTAATCATGCAATCCATGAACCAGTTTAGTAGCCCTTCTCTGAACCCTCTCTAAAGTATCAATATCCTTCTGGAGATACAGTCTCCAGTACTGCGTACAATACTCCAAGTGAGGTCTCACTAGTGTTCTGTACAATGGCATGAGCACTTCCCTCTTTCTACTGCTAATACCTCTCCCTATACAACCAAGCATTCTGCTAGCATTTCCATCAAATCAATATCCTATACTCTGCCCTTAGGTTTTTACGTCCAAGATGCATTATCTTGCACTTATCCACATTAAATGTCAGTTGCCACAACTCTGACCATTTTTCTAGTTTACCTAAATCATTTTCCATTTGGCTTATCCCTCCTGGAACATCAACCCTGTTACATATCTTAGGATCATCAGCAAAAAGACATACCTTACCATCAAGACCTTCTGCAATATCACTAATAAAAATATTAAAGAGAATGGGTCCAAGTACAGATCCCTGAGGTACCCCACTGGTCCAAGCTTCGAATATATTCCATTGACTACAACCCTCTGTTGCCTGTCATTCCGCCACTGCCTTACCCATTCAACAATATTGGAATCCAAACTTAAAGATTGCGGTTTATTGATAAGCCTTCTATATACAACAGTGTCAAAATCCTTACTGAAATCTAGGTAAGCAATGTCTACTGCACCACCCTGATCTATTATTTTAGTTACCCAATCAAATAAATCTATGAAAATGGGGTGGGGGGGGGACCTATTGTCCTCCCCTCTGGCCCCCACACATGAGCGGCATGTGGGGGCTCTAAAAGACAACGGGGGTAAACTATTGTCCCTCCCCAAGCCCCCACCCATGAGTGATGGGTGGGGGCCCTAAATGAAAATGGGGGGACCTATTGCCCTGGCCCCCACCCACGGGCAACAGGTGGGGGGCCCTTAATGACAATAGGGGGAGAACCTATTGTCCTCCCCCCCAGCCCCCACCCATGAGCGGCGGGTGGGGGCCCTAAATGAAAATGGGGGGGACCTATTGTCCTATTGTCCCTGGCCCCCACCCATGAGCAGTGGGTGGGGACCCTAAAAGACTATGGGGGCAACCTATTGTCCTCCCCCCCGGCCCCCAACCATGGGCGACAGGTGGGGCCTAAATGTAAAAATACCCCCCCAGGTGACTTGGGGTCCCCAAGCCCCTGGTCACCACCAACCTAAAATAAATTAAATACTTTTAAAAAAACACTTACCATTTGATGTCTTTTTTTTTTTTCTAAAACGTTATTTTTTCAGCCCCATAAAAGGCCAAACAAAAATCCATAATACCTGTCGAACGTATAAAAAAAAAAAAAATCTTTACCCAGCAAGGGCACTGCGCAGACTAAGAACCACAGGGCATGGGTAGGCTTATAAAGCCTTCCCACGCCCTGCAATTTGACTCCGAGCGCTCTGATTGGTTGGTTTAAGCCAATCAATAAGAGTGCTCTGATAGGTAAATAGTGAGCCTTACAGGTAACCAATCAGGTACGGCTCACTATTTACCTATCAGAGCACTCTTTTTGGTTGGCTTGCCTTAAACCAACCAATCAGAGCGCTCTGAGTAAAATTGCAGGGCGTGGAAAGGCTTTATTAGGGCTTTATTTAATTTTTTCGGTGGTAGGGGGTGACTAGGGGCTCGGGGTCCCCTAGTCACCTGGTGGGCTTATTTTTACATTTAGCCCCCACCCACCCATCGGTGGGGCCAGGGGAGGACAATAGGTCCCCCCATTGTCATCTAGGGCCACCACCTGTTGCCCATGGGTCCCCCTCATTATCTTTTAGGGCCCCACCCGCTGCTCATGGATGGGGACAGGGGGAGGACAATAGTTCCACCCCATTCTCATTTAGGGCCCCCACCTGCCGCACATGGTTGGGGGCCATTGGGCACCCTATGTCCCCCGTTTAGTTGCGAAGCCCCCACTCGCAGGGTACAGGTAGGGTTTCGGGGGGACGCCACTATGTCCCCCCACTAGTTAATTGATGCCCCACCATGGGGCCATTTGTTGGAAGCGGAGGGGAAGCGCTTTTTTTTTTTAAACACTGTTTAGTAGACATGCCCCTACTCTCAGGAATGCATGTGAATTTCACTGCACTATCTAGTATGGGCAGATGATGTGTCCCACAGGGACTTCATCTTCCCACACAAAGATGGCTGTGCCCAGGACCTAGGTCCAGGCACAAAATGAAGATTAAAAAATAGGTAATATGGGGCTTAGAGGCACCACTACTTGTACATGAAATAAAACATAAATAATAATAATAATAGTGCAACCCTTTTAGATATAAACAAAACAATGTAATAGAACAATGTACTATAGTGTTACTCTCACGCACATCACCAGAGCCATCAATTGGAGTTAAACGTGTTCGTTGTATAAGGAATAATGCCTTTATTCACATATTGGCAAAGTGATAAAACATAAATAAAACCAAAATCATTCATGCTTACAAGATATGATGGTGAGTATATGCGGATTTGATTAATCTACCCACAGAAGCACTCAGTCAATTTAGTGCTCTGTTTACCTTCAGGGTTCATCCAAAGTCCTCTGCCGCTCTGTAGCCTTATGCATTGCTCCTTGCCATTAGTTCTAGGGCTTTCATGCCAGGTACGAAGCCTGCGGATTCCGCCAAAATGTTTATGAGTAGTTTGAGGTATCGTGTATGATACCTATGAATGTGGGCTGTGTATGGTGGCTGCTTGTGGAATTGTGTGTGGATGGATATGTCACATATTGTGTTTTGTAGTGTGTGTATGTGTGGGGCTGTTTTGGTTGTATGCATGTATGTAGATTGTTAGTGGTGTTGCGTTTGTGCGGGTTTTGTGTCTGGGCTTTTCGAATTGTTTGTATGAGGGGAGGGTTATTCTGCATTTCTACGTATATGTAGCAGTGTAGGTGGCTTCCCTGGGATCCAGTGGGACCAGGCTGGCCAGGTACAGGTCAAGGCCAGGAGCTGCAACAGCAGCTGTGAGCTTCTCTACTCCAGTGTGGATTC